GCTGGGCAGAGTATTACGAGACAGGAGGATTACTTTGGTAACAAAGAGTACTAAGCTACTACGTGACATCTGTCCTTCTTTACGGCAGCGAATGTTGGACGATTTCCTCAAAGATGAAGAAGAGACTCGAGGCGACGCAGATGTGGTTCTACAGAGGAATACTAAGGATATCGTGGACCGAACATATTGGGATGGCTAAGGATGAATTTCTAAAGCTGGGCAGAGTATTGCGAGACAGGAGGATTTCTTTGATAACAAAGAAAAGAATACTGAGCTGTTACGTGACATCTGTCCTTCTTTATGTCAGCGAATGTTGGGCGATTTCCTCAAAGATGAAGAAGAGACTCCAGGTGACGGAGATGTGGTTCTGCAGAAGGATGCTGAGGATATCATAGACCGAGAGGGTGACAACGATGAGGTTATGGAGAGGATGCAAACAAGAAAAGAGCTTATACTTAACATCAGGAAGAGGCAGATGAAATTTCTGAGACAGGTATTGAGAAAGGAGGGCCTACAGAATCTAATACTCACAGGTCGAATAGAGAGAAAGCGAGACAAGAGAAAGCAACGCATGTCATACGGGTTTAATAAAGTGGATGACAGAACGTGGTCTGGGGGAGGTGGTAGAAGGACGAAACTTATTGAGAGATACAACGGATAAAGGGAGTGGAGAGCCATGATCACCTACGTCCTGAAGGGACACGGCACATAAAAACGATAATGAAGTTTTAGCCCAGATAATGGAAACATCGGGTATGACAGTTGTCGAAGTTTTCATCGTATTCAGTTGGAAGAAAGCCGGCGAGACAAATTCAATTCAATTCAAAATCCTTTTAGCGTGAAAAAGAGAAGAAAACATTTACTTATTCTTAGAAATTATAATAAATTCGTAATTGCGTCGGCGGTAGACTTTGTCTATTATTATTTATTAAATATCGTGTCTCGGTTTTCTTTGAATTAAAATGAAGTTAAATAAAAACATTTCAAGCGGTGCTTCTTCCTTTATTTTCTTCTTTTTCTTTTTTTTCATTTTTTCTACTTTCTTTCTTTTTTCTTCTTTTCTTCTTTTTTTGTTTTTTGTTTTTTCTTCTTTTTTTCTTTTTTCTTCTTCTTTTCTTTTTCTTTTTTTCATTTTTTCTTCTTTCCTTTTTTCTTCTTTTTTCTTCTTTTTTCTTTTTTTAATTTTTTCTTTTTTCTTCTTTTCTTCTTTCTTTTTTGCTTTTTATTCTTTTTTCTTTTTTCTTCTTTTCTTTATTCTTTTTTCTTTTTTTCATTTTTCTTCTTTTTCTTTTTTCTTTTTCTTCTTCTTTTCTTTTTTTCTTTTTTTCTTTTTTCTTTTTTTCATTTTTCTTTTTTCTTTTTTCTTTTTTTCTTTTTTTTTTTTTTTTTTTTTACTTCTTTTTTTCTTTTTTCTTCTCTTCTTTTTTGTTTTTTGTTTTTTGTTTTTTCTTCTTTTTTCTTTTTTCTTTTTTCTTTTTTCTTCTTCTTTTCTTTTTTCTTCTTTTCTTTTTTCTTTTTCTTCTTCTTTTTTCTTTTTTAATTTTTTCTTTTTTCTTTTTGCTTCTTTTCTTCTTTTCTTTTTCTTTTTTGTTTTTTTCTTTTTTCTTTTTTCTTCTTTTCTTTATTCTTTTTTCATTTTTCTTCTTTTTTTCTTTTTCTTCTTCTTTTCTTTTTTCTTTTTTCATTTTTCTTCTTTTTTCTTTTTTCTTCTTTTCTTTCTTTTTTGTTTTTTCTTTTTTTTTCATTTTTCTTCTTTTTTTCTTTTTTCTTCTTTTCTTTTTTGTTTTTTCTTCTTTTTTGCTTTTTCTTTTTACTTTGCTCTCTTTCATTATTTCTTTTCGTTGTCACCTTTCACGACTTTCTTTCGCGTTTTTCTTACTTTTGCTATGATTCTTTCGGACTTGTCGTTCTCATCTTTATTTCTTTTTTCTCCTTTGTAACCTTTCTTTCTCTCTTATTATTTCAAAATCTTTCTTTCTTTGTCACCTTTCATTCATTCTTTCTTTCTTTTTTCGATATCACCTTTCTTTCTTTTGTTGTCATCTTTCTTTCACATTTCCATTATAGTATTTCTTTTTTCTTTCCCTTTTCCATTTTTATTCTTATTACTTTATTCTTTCTTTCTTTCTTTCTTTCTTATTAATTCCCAAATTTTTCTTTCTTTCTTTTCTTTTCTCATTGAAATGTTTTATTTGTTCCTTTTTTGTTATTCTTCCGCTTCACGTTTCTTTCTTTCTTTTTTCTTTCTTTCTTTCTTTCTTTCTTTCTTTTTTCTTTCTTTCTTTTTTTCTTTCTTTCTTTCTTTCTTTCTTTCTTTCGTTCGTTCGTTCGTTCGTTCTTTCAGTTTCAGCTTACTTCTTCTTACATACTCTTTTTTTCCATTTTCATTCAATTATCTACATTTACCTTTCACTTTTTATTCTTTCTTTCTTTCTTTTCGTGCTTTCACTTTCTTTCTTTCTTTCTTTCTTTCTTATTAATTCCCAAATTTTTCTTTCTTTCTTTTCTTTTCTCATTGAAATGTTTTCTTTGTTCCTTTTTTGTTATTCTTCCGCTTCACGTTTCTTTCTTTCTTTTTTCTTTCTTTCTTTTTTTCTTTTTTCTTTCTTTCTTTATTTCTTTCGTTCGTTCGTTCGTTCGTTCGTTCTTTCAGTTTCAGCTTACTTCTTCTTACATAATCTTTTTTTTCCATTTTCATTCAATTATCTACATTTACCTTTCACTTTTTATTCTTTCTTTCTTTTCGTGCTTTCACTTTCTTTCTTTCTTTCTTTCTTTCTTTCTTTCTTTCTTTCTTTCTTTCTTATTAATTCCCAAATTTTTCTTTCTTTCTTTTCTTTTCTCATTGAAATGTTTTCTTTGTTCCTTTTTTGTTATTCTTCCGCTTCACGTTTCTTTCTTTCTTTTTTCTTTCTTTCTTTCTTTCTTTTTTCTTTCTTTCTTTCTTTCTTTCTTTTTTCTTTCTTTCTTTATTTCTTTCGTTCGTTCGTTCTTTCAGTTTCAGCTTACTTCTTCTTACATACTCTTTTTTTCCATTTTCATTCAATTATCTACATTTACATTTCACTTTTTATTCTTTCTTTCTTTCTTTCTTTTCGTGCTTTCACTTTCTTTCTTTCTTTCTTTCTTTTGTTCATTGTTGTTTTTAGTCTTTCTTGAATTTCTTTCTTTTTTCTCTTTTCCGTGTTTTCTTTAATTCCTTCCTTCATTCTTTTTCATCTTTAGTGTTTTCTTTCTTTCTTTCTTTTCGTGCTTTCACTTTCTTTCTTTCTTTCTTTCTTTCTTTCTTTCTTTCTTTCTTTCTTTCTTTCTACTACGTTGTTTTATTTATCTTCTCTTTCCTCGCTCCCTATAAATCCTTAGCGTTCTCTTTCTTTTTCTCTCCCTCCTACTTCTTCGATTTAGCTTCTATCTCTCCCTCCTATTTCTTTTCTTTTTTCATGCGAAAGACATTTCTCCCTCTATATATTCCTTTCGATTTCTCTCTCTCTCTCTCTTTCTCTCTTACCACACCCACTGCCAAACAAAATTTTCTTCTCTTCCTCCTTCCTTTTCATTTTTCCTCCACCTCCCAACTCTATGTCTCTCTTCTTCACCTCCCCCCTCCACCTCTACTCACTACCCTTTTTACTCCCCCTCCTTCCGCTGAAAAGATCCCACACCAAACCGCCACGTGGCTTTCTTTTTTCGAACAAGGAAGTTGAGTTGCCGTGTTGATCGGGGAGGGTTAGACGTCTAAGTACCCAGCGGTAATCGATGCGATCGGGTTGGGCCGGGAGTGGTAACAGGTGAGTCCAGGTGAGAGTTAAGCGTGGCTCTTAAGACGGTGAACCTGGCCAATAAGTGATTGTCCAAAGACCCACTTGAGTTTCGTATTTGTGAAGGAGGATCCAATCGATCGATTGTGGCCCAAAGATCAGAAACGCCGTCTAAACTGATGATAGAACCAATCTTGTTTTTATCATTCTCACCAAATTTATCAGACGGAGTAAATTAACGATATTAATTTATGATTAGACTCTTGGCATGTTTGTTTCTTTTGTACCGATCGAATGTGGTGCTTGGCAAACAAGACCGGACACGATGACATTCGAGAATATTCCTTTCTCTTTTTTCTTTTAATATTTTCCTATTCTTTCTTTCTTTCTTTCTTTCTTTCTTTATTTATTTATTTCCTTTCCTTCTCTTTTTCTTACTAGAGTTATCTTTCTTTCTTTCTTTCTTTCTTTCACTCTCTCTTTCTAGAGATGTCTTTCTTTCTCTCTCTCTCTCTCTCTCACTCTCTCTCTAGAGAAATCTTTCTTTCTCTCTCTATTTCTTTCTAGAAATATCTTTCTTTCTCTCTCTATTTCTTTCTAGAAATATCTTTCTTTCTCTCTCTTGCTTTCTAGAGATATCTTTCTTTCTCTCTTTCTCCTTTTCTAGAGATATCTTTTTCTTTCTCTCTTTCTCTCTCTTTCTATCTAGAGATATCTTTCTTTCTTTCTTTCTTTCATTCTTCAGATATCTTTCTTTTTTCTTTCTTTTTTTTTCTTGTGATATCGCTCTTTCTTTCTTTATTAATATTTCATTAATCTTTGTGTTTCTTCCTTTCTTCCTTTGTAAATATTTCATTAAACTTTGTTTGTTTGGTGTTTGTTTGTTTCTTTCTTTCTTTAATTTCTAGGGATATATTTCTTTCTTTCTTTCTTTCTTTCTTTTTCTTTCTTTGCTTCGTCTTCTTCCTTTCATTTAAGAACTTTCTTTCTTTAATCATTTTCCCTCTTTCTTTTTTAACATTTCTACACTCTAATTTCTTCTTTCTTTTTATGGATATATTCATTTATTTATTTATAGATAGATAGATAGATAGATAGATGAAAAGAATAGATAGATGAGATAGATATTAAATGCCAATAGATAGCTACACAGATATATATTAATAGCTTGAGATAGATAGATAGATAGATAGATAGATAGATAGATAGATAGAAGAAAAGAATACAGTCGTGACCGATCAGATGAACTCCAGATTTTATGAATTTCGTATATCGATCGCCTTCTCTGCATACATAGATACATTTATCTATTCTTTTCATCTATCTATCTATCTATCTATCTATCTATCGGCATTTAATATCTATCTATCTATCTATCTATCTATCTATCTATCTATCGATCGATCTATTCTTTTCATCTATCTATCTCAACTATCTATTTCATCTATCTATGTATTCTTTTCATCTATCTATCTATCTATCTATCTATCTATCTATCTCAAGCTATTAATATATATCTATGTAGCTATCTATTGGCATTTAATATCTATCTATCTATCTATCTATCTATCTATCTATCTACGTATCTATCTATCGATCGATCGATCTATTCTTTTCATCTATCTATCTCAACTATCTATTTCATCTATCTATGTATTCTTTTCATCTATCTATCTATCTATCTATCTATCTATCTATCTATCTATCTATCTATCTCAAGCTATTAATATATATCTATGTAGCTATCTATTGGCATTTAATATCTATCTATCTATCTATCTATCTATCTATCTATCTATCAATTCTTTTCATCTATCTATCCATCTATCTATCTATCTATCTATCTATCTATCTATTCTTTTCAATTATCTATCTCGTTAAGTAGCTATTTATCATTCTTTTCTCATAGACTATTTTCAGTACACATTTCAATTCTACGCTACACTAAGCAGGTCAGTTAAACTGATATACCAAATGTTTCACTATTTATTTTTTTTTATTTAGCAAGTGGAATTTCCCATCATGGATCATTACAATTTAAGAATCAACTCTTTTCTTTTTCTTTTTTTGATATTTGATAAATGCCTTGATGCTTCCTGCTTTCCTGTTAGTTGGAAATCCTCTTCTGTACTTTCAGTCTTTCAGGACTCAGGCGAACCGTTTGCTCCTTCTAACTATCGGTTTGTTAGTCTTCTGTCTCTTTTTGGCAAAATAGTAGAGCTCCTAATCAACTCTGAATTAGTTAAGCATCTCACCACGATGGGTATTCTTTCATATAAGCAATATGGCTTTTGCTTTTGCCCCCAAACTGATATTTTAACGATTATTACTGCAAGAGTCTGACAAACTTTAGATAAAACTGGAAAAACTCTGGCAATTGCTTTAGGTATCTCGAAGGAACTTCATAGGATTTGGCATACTGGGCGTCTTCACAAGTTGAAAGGTTATTTCTTGATTAGATAGATAGATAGATAGATAGATAGATAGATAGATAGATAGATAGATAGATAGATAATGAATATACTGAGTTGGATAAAAAATGAATACATTGAGATAGGTAGATAGATAATGAATATATTGAGAGAGATAAAAATATATAGATAGATAGATAGATAGATAGATAGGGGTCGGCTGGAGATAGATAGATAGATAGATAGATAATGAATATACTGAGTTGGATAAAAAATGAATACATTGAGATAGGTAGATAGATAATGAATATATTGAGAGAGATAAAAATATATATTGAGATAGATAGATAGATAGATAGATAGATAGATAGATAGATAGTGTTGTGTACCTAGGGAAGGTAACGTAACTGAACAGAATAATCAAGCAAATGTTGGTAATGAACAATAATACTTGGGACAAGAACAACACATACAAGATTCTCCAGCGGCGCGTAGAAGAAGCAGTCAACTGCTAGAAAGGAGTCAAATGAATTCCACAATGAATCTCTAACTACAGACCAACATACAGTATTTACTACTGTATTTATGTGAATGGGGGCACACCCATTATAGTCAGCAGGTATGCTACAACAGATAGATAGATAGATAGATAGATAGATAGATAGATGAAAAGAATAGTGTTGTAACGTAGGGAAGGTTACCGAATAGAATAATTAAATGAAGGTTTGTAATGAATGATAATACTTAGGACAAGAACAACACGTATAAGATTCGCCAGCGGTGCGTAGAAGAAGTAGTCAACTGCTAGAAGTGAGTCAAGTGAATTCCACAATGAACTGCAGACCAACATACAGTATTTACTGCTGTATTTATACGAATTCCCATTACCGTCCATAGGTATGCTACAACAGAAAAATAGATAGATAGATAGATAATGAACAGACTGAGATAGATAGATAGATAGATAGATAGTAAGTATTAAAATGTGCTTTGAAAATAGGCTGAGAGAAAAATTATAATTTCTTGAACTGATTCAGTTTTTCTGTGAAAAACTGCGAAATGAAGGTTATCTTGAATGACCACTCTTCTAGATCTTTTTGAATAACTGCAGGTGTTCCCCAGGGCTCTTTCCTTGGGCCTAGGTTGTTCCTCATTTTCATAAATGTTCTTAATGATTTCATCAGTTCTCAGCTCCCCATGTATGCTGACGACGACTCTTTACCCCTGTCTTAATAGTAAGTCTGATCCGTTCGATAAGGTCAAATTGGAAGCTGATCTAAAATATGGCCTACAGTCTGCTGTGGAAATTGGACGTGGAAAATTGTATATTGAATCAATTGCTAAATCTGCTGTTAGGAAAGTTGGTTTACTCTATCAAACGAGACAATTTTCCTCGACATAATCTCTCTTATCTATTTATAAGTCTACAATTCCTCCTTACTTTGAATATTGCTGCCACATCTGGTCTGGTGCTCCTGCTATATATTTAGAGATTATTGATAAAATCCAAAGAATCTGCAATGCTATTGGTTGTAATCTGCCATCTCGGCTTCAGTCACTTTCCCACTAAGTCACTGCCGCGAATCTAGTACTGTGCTTAAATGCATAAGGTCTAGGTACCATAGAGAAAAGGCCATTAGAACAATTCCCCTGTAAAATAATAAGACCTAGCCGCCAGCTGTCACAACTAGTTTGTTTCTACTGCTATATATCTAGACATTCCTGATAAAATCCAAAGAAGAATCTGCAATGTTATTGATCCTAAACTGACTTCTCGGCCTCAGTCACTTTCCCGCTAAGTCATTACCGCGAATCTAGTACTGTGTTTAAATTCATAAGGTCTAGGTACCATAGAAGTGCGGAAGAGATGGGTTCATGCCTTTCTCAGGGGTATTTGCATGAAAGTGAATATAACGAACTCGACGGGAATTCGAACTCAGCTCTCTGATTTCTCATTCCGAACCACGATCCATTACACCACCCACACATCCGCGATTAATATACAGCAAAATTGTCCCGATGGTGTAAAAGTAAAATTGTCCAATTGTTAGATTAAGCTTCAAACCGTTGTATCTTAGAAATGCTTAAAGATATCTTACTGGAATTCTCCGAGGTTTTTATAACACCATTGGACTCTACTTTGAACAATAAGAATGTATATTTACTCTCTAAACCAAACAGAAGAATCGTGATGAAATCAATCATAAATGAAAATGACATGTTCATTATTAATTAATCATTGCTAAAGATCAGAAACTCATGAAGGATTTAAATAAAGTTCAAATATATATATATATATATATATATATATATATATATATATGGAGACAGATCCTGGAATATATATATATATATATATATATATATATATATATATATATATATTCCAGGATCTGTCTCCAACTTATTCAAAGTTGATCTTTGCCCTCTCTAACCTTCTAACTTTTTGTCCTGCAGTAATAAGATGCCTCTCAGGTTTCACGTACGATTTCAATTTCGAATTTTGTTTCACTGCTCTTTGGACTGTCATAGCTGAAACACCTCTCTCATGTGCGAAACGTCTTATGAATTGAGGTGGATTGATCTCTTTAGTTGAAATGATGATTTCTCTTGTTGCTACTTCCTGATCCAGTTTTCCTCTCTACTGTTCCCTCTTTTTTTTACCGTTCCCTTGATGGTTCTTGAATGGACTTTAAAGATGGAAGCCAGAGTATGAAGATTGGTACCATTACTGAAGGTTTGATTGATCTTTTTCCTCTCACCATTGCTCAGTTGGGAAGATATAGTGGGGCTGACACAAAACGATTTTAATCTATTCTCTTTCTGGCTGAATAATTCAAAGGGTTTTTCTGTGGTTCTTACGACAAATCGTGTCAAAATGGCTAAACGTCTTATCTGAAAACCTGGAAAAAAGAAACTCAATTAGTTTAGTTTTTTATTTTTATTTTTAGATATTAAAGATTTGTGTACACTTTTGCTGTTACGCCCAGTACGACTGAACTATTTTTGTTTATCCCTGGAACAATGTGGGAAAATCTTGAAAGAAAAAGATAAATAAATAAATAAATTAAACAAAAAATAATCAATAACTTAAAATAAAAATTTAGTTGAAATTCAGTAAAATCCAGTCCCCATAACGATGCAGTCAAAGTTAAAATGCATATTTTTTTTTAAGTATTTCACTCCAAGAAAGGCAGGAGTGCCAGTAGTACACAAGAGATTACAGAGAGTGACGGTAAAGAGAGTTGTTTCAGGAAAGGAGAACAAAGAAGAACAGTGATCAAGATCAGGGCATCAGAAGATGTCGATTGACATTACATTTGAATATTTGAAGATTATAGCTATCAGGGAAGCAAGTAAGAGGAAGGGAGTTCCGCTGTCCGGAAGTGCAAGGGAAGAAGCTGCTGGAGTAGAAGAGGCGGTTACATGTAACTGTTTCGACAGTAAAAGGGTGAGACCAAGATGCCAACCTAGTAGCACGCTTAAATTCATGCAGTTGGGGTACCAGTGAAAGTAGCTCGTCAGAGCAGTTGCCATGAAAATATTTGTAGAAAAGACAGAGGGAAGCCACATTACGTCGGTGAGAAAGTGACTGTAGTCGAGATGCCAGGTCAGGACCTATCATATTGCATATCCGTTTTTGGATTTTGCCGAGAACCTCGAGATGAACCGTACCAGACCATATGTGGCAACAGTATTTAATGCAAGGACGATGCCACTGAAACTCTGATCAGAAGTTTCTGACAACATTTTCCTATTTCTTAATACTTTGTTTAGTTTTTGAAAGGCATCTTTTGCTATTTCAATGCACCTTCATATTTCGGTGTCATATTTTCCGTCCAATGTTAAAACACTTCATAGATATTTAAAATTCTCTATTTCTCTTTACTCTAACGACATTTTCCTGATTCTTAATATTTTATTTAATTTCTAAAAGGCATCTTTTGCCATTTCAATCTACCTTGGGATTCTGGAGTCAGTTGCTTGATTTTAGCATCTCCAATTTATAGCTCGCATCTTGAGCAGTGCTGACAACCACATATTCTGTCTTTCTACAATCGATAGATAGTCCTTTCTTCTCACTTTCCTTTACTACTTTCTCTAGGAGTTCTTGCAGTATACCTTCTATTCCTGTCAATCAAGATGTTATCATTTGCATATGTTATATTTTTAAGATTCTTCCCGCCCATCCGATATTAAATCATAGCAGAATTTATAAAATACAAAAAACGAATATTAAAGAATAAACCTCTTTGAGGGTGAGGTGAGATATTGGTGTAATTCCCTGTGGTCAGGGTTCAATCCCAGATAGTAACCAGAGTTTCGAATATTGTTTTTTTTTTTAGGTGGGTAAGCAGTACAGTCGTATTTCAATCATATTACAAATATGTTCACCAAGTCAGTCTTAGCAAACAAGACTAATAAATCACTTTATATTGCCGGGAGGGGGCTTTGCTAATTTTATTTATT